GTCACTAAGAACTGCCCTATGCAACATTTTCCTTAGGCTGCAAAAAAGCTTGCATACCTTCTTTCTACAAATCCATCTGCCTGCATAAGTGATGCTTGAACAGCACATTCTGTAATATGTATTAGAGCTTATGTGAGTTCCTTATGAATGCTAGTTTAATGATCTTTGGAATGGTTTAATGGTTTGGAATAGTCTCTAATAGTTCTATGCCAGGGGTCCCCAACCCTCGGTCCATGGACCAGTACCGGTCTGCGGCATGCCAGCAACTGGTCCGCACAAAAAAGCAAAGCCCCATCCGCAAGATGCAGGCAGCACACAAAATCACTCACTCTCCGGTCCATTGAAAAACCTCTCTCTGTGGAATCAGTCACTGGTGCCCAAAAGGTTGGGGACCTCCGTTCTATGCTATACCTGATTTAAACCAGGAAAGAGAACTAGCCATGTATTGTTAGTTCTATCAATGTTTGATACAACTAAAAAGTGCTTTATTGGCATGTGATTTTTATTGTTTTTATCATGATATTTTTACTATGTCTGAAGACTTGTGCAAGAAATCTGTAACTATTGCCCTAACTAGGCAACATTCTCAGGATGGGTAACAGACAACTGTAGTTCTGGCTGTTTTTGCAAGATAATACCAGTTTTTATGTCCCCCTTGGAGAGTGGTGCATCCTTTTGTCCATTTCATTCTGGCTATGCTATTATATGCTATGGTGGTAATTGATCCAGCCATAACAGTCATAATAGAAGAATTCTCCAAATTTCATGAATGTCTATGCTTATGAGATGAGTTAATATATACTGAAATTGAAGCTTACATGGCTATTGTGTATTCTTTATTCTTTATTGGCCAAGTGTGATTGGACACACAAGGACTTTGTCTCCAATTCATAAGCTCTCAGTGTACATGAAAGCAACAAGTGATAAATCATGATCATAATCATAAAATACAATCATCATAAATCATGATACAATACTCAGTGATAGTCATAGGATTAAATAAGCAATCAACTATAAATCATAATAGGATACTAAATAAAAGCAATCAACATAAATCATAAGATACAAAGCTATAGTCATAAGAAGTTAAGGAAATGGGTAATAGGAAAGATGAGGATAATAGTAATACAGCCCTACTAGGTGGTTTGACATCCCAGGGGCATAAGGTAGTGTTGTGGGAATTAGTTGATTAGCAGAGTGATGGCATGGGGGGAAAAACTGTCCTTGTGTCTAGCTGTTTTGGCATGCTATGCCCTATAGCATCATCTTGAGGGAAGAAGTTGAAACAATCTGTGTCCAGGATGTGAGGGGGTCTGTAGATATTTTCACAGCCCTCTTTCTGGCTTGTGCAGTATATAGGTCCTCAATTGAAGGCAGGCTGCTTGCAATTGTTTTCTCTGCAGTTCTAACTATCCGTTGAAGTCTGTGTCTGTCTTGTTTGGTTGCAGTGCCAAACAGACAGTTATAGAGGTGCAAATGACATTATCATCATTATCATTATCATTTGATTCAAGCTTATCCTCCCTCAGAAAATCATTGTGTAATGTTGGGTCAATCTCTGATTTTCAATCCAATCTCCCCTACAGAGTTATTTTAGAGCTAAATTAAAATAAACCTTGAGCTCTTCTGGTGAAAGATGTGGTGGTGGTGATGGTGGCAGTGATGATGATGATAGGATGGAGAAAGGAGAAACTATTGCCTTATTTTACTTCTCCTCTCATCTCCTGATTTTTTCAGTATCTCACTTGATGATGAGTTCTGGAGATTCAGGCATTTTGATTTGTTCTAATAAATTAATATCCCATCATGGATTTGGGCTGTTTGAATACAGTAAATTCCACTGAATGTGGAGGGATGTACTTCTGCTCAGGGAACTGTATCCTCTATTCCCATTGTTTTGATCAACAGGATTCTACGCCAGTATACTGAAAAGTATATTTCACAAAATTCAATTGTACATATTTTCAGTTATGCTTAGAATTGTTATAAAGCTGTCACATATTCTAGAATATGCCTCTAGAGGGCCCCAGTTTGCTCTGGAACTACAGTAGCAGGATATCCCAGTTTGACAAGATTATGCTCTGTATTTTGATACTCTTGCATAACCCTTTAAATGGCATTTGAATAAATTTCCTGACAATATATGCCTATTCTGTGGAGGCAGATGATTGCTGATTGAATTAGTTCTGGCTTTTGTCTTCAGATTGATGACATTTATTGAGAGAAATTGACTGGTCCAAGGCCCCCCTGCAGGCATTCATGCCTAAAGCGACATTAAAACTCATGGTCTTCAGTTTGCTTTAGTGGTTAAGGGACCAGGCTAGAAACCAGGAGACCATAATTTCTAATCCTGCTTTAGTCATGAAAGCCAGCTGGATGATTTAGGCCAGTCACACTTTCTCAGACCAATTCACCTCACGGGGTTGTTGTCTGGGGAAAATAGGAGGAGGAAGGGGTGCTGGAAAATATTCGCTGCCTTGAGCTATTTGTAAAAATAATGAAGATACCAACAAATAAATATAAGAAAAATGAACTCACAAATCTACTTTCCTTCCAGAAAACCTTGAAATATTGGAACTTGGTGACAATTTAATAAGGGTTCTTCTACCTGAATTTGATTTTGAAAGTTTTTTTTAAAGAAATAAGAGAACTTGGTATACAAACCAATTTGATTTTATTTTTTTTCCCCTCCCTTACTAGTTTACAGAGGTTGACTTTGGATGGAAATAACACAGAATCTGTCTCTTGGTCATTGCATTTTCCACACGGTGTGGACCACACCTAAACTATCTTAGCATGGAGAATAGAGCACTGCAATGTTTTCCAAGAAGCTTGTTCACATTTTTTTATAATTTGTTGTTTCTTCATTTAAATGGTAATCTATTCACAGATCTCCTTCTGATCTGCTAATATAGGGGTGTCAAACTGCTGGCTTGTGGGTTGGTTGCATCATGCGGAAGCCGCGCCAACCCCACTTCCAGAAATGCGAAAAAAGTCATGATACGTCACGACACGGCACATGACTCAGCAAGTTTGACACCTGTGTGCTAATATTATATTGTCATTGAAGCTGGAAAGGAACCAGCTGAAAGTGGTAAAATTTGGAGATGTGGAAAAATTTGACAGAGATCTGCCTGTCTGAAAACCAGCTTTCACCAGTTGGTATGCAGCTTTCTTTCAGGTTTAATGAGGATGGACCTGTCAAAAAAACAAACTCCAAACAATCTCACTCAGATTGCCAGAAAATTGATTTCACAAACTATCCGAGAGTATTAGAGCACAAGAATTTTAGAGTCTATGAAACTTCAACCATGTGTTCCTTGACAATTATATTGTATGTTACTACGTTTGAAGATGGAGGGCTTCAAAAATGTACACTATTATCTAATTTAGCACGTGAACAAAATCAGCTTCATTCTATTCCATTAAAGTAAGTGACTAAGACACATAATTTGTCAGGGACTTAGAAGTAAAAAAACATAAGTTGAATTTCATTGTGGAATCAGGAAATATATTATCTGTGCAATAAAGAGTATACATTTAGTATATTTTCTGTAATATAAATACATTCAATTTCAGGATTGAAGAAATTAGTTTGGTTTCTAAAAGAAAAAATGTGCTGCCAAAGTCTGAGTTCCTGTAATCTCATTCATACTACACCATGAACTTTTAGAAATGTCTCAAATTACAACGTAGTTTAATTTGCAGTCCAAAAGCCCATTTGGCTAGGAAGCTAAGTGGGTGGCATGTTACTTATTTCTCATTGTAATGATAGGTTATTGTGTGGATAAATAGTTAGTTTGCTGAAAACAGTTATAGAACAATAAGCTATCCACTCTTAGTTACAATTTCCTAACATTCCCTGTCTCAGATACTTGATGACAATCCATAATGTCTTCAAATCAGAAGTGTGCTCACCACCAAAGGCACAGAGGTCAAGGGAGGGCCATCACTAGTAGAGAGCCATGATGAAAGCTGTATGTCTTCAACAATGATCTTGCATTTGTATATACATAAGAGGGTAAAGCAATGAGCAAGCATGCAAATGGCGATATCTCTGTAAATATACGTGATGATTATGATTATGAAATAAAGGTCAGCCTAAGATATCTTCTGTAGTTCTCCTTCCTCTAATGTGAATTTAATTCAGCCCTATTTCAGGAGATCGGAGACTTTTGTGTTTTGTTGTATAGCATCTAACTCAACTGTCTCCAAGCATGCTTGTGAGGACCACACAGGCTATCACTTAAAAGTAAATAATGTAGTTGTATTTAGAATATGTTTAATTATCCTATATGCTGCACTGATGGGTTACCAATATTTATCAATATATATATATATGTATAGTACTATATATGAATGTGTGAAAGGACCAATTTGGCAGAACCGGTAGCTAATTTTTTGTTGCCAGGGCCAGAATAGACTTCCAGAACCGGCATCCATGCAAGAGAACCGGTTGTTCACATATTTGAATCCCACCACTAGAAAGGACCAAAGGTGGACCCTCTTTGAAGAAGATATTTCTAAGAAGTAGCTTTCTATGCATTTGTGGGATATGTGAGAAATAAGGATGCAAATAAACAGACGTCTGCAGTCCACAATAATGTTTTAGTTCAGTCAGTATTTCTTAAAAGTTTTAGTTCAGTGCATTTTCACACCTACAATTCACCTTCACTCCTGGTTAAGAAATAAGCCATTATAGGAGCTTTTCATCTAATTCATCTCACAATTGCCTATCCAGTTTGAGCAAATAAAGGAACCAGCCACAAAAAATTGATTTATTGTTTCACTATCACGCACGTGGTGACCAAGACAGCGGAACTTTTACAACTCACACACGTCCGCCACTAGATGTCGCAACATAACATTAAATCCTTCTGTAGCTGCAAAAAGACATCCTTAGGGCTTCCCTCTTCTTCAGTTTCCTTCGGGCCACGTCATTTGGTCTGTCAACCCGGAAATGACTTAGTCCCGTTGCTTCGACCAATGAGCAGCAGCTGCGTAGGCTAGAGGGTAAAGGTCAGGACAGGTCTAGAGATGGTTGCACTAGCGAAAGTTGCCGGGCAGATAAAACCGTCTCCGTGAAGCAAAGGGAGGCGAGATGGTGCATTCTTCGCGGTGCGGCTGATCCAACTTTAACCGCCTCAGCCGACGATCCCTGCTCTACTCCTCTCGAGTCTCCCTCCGTCCAGTCCAATGAGCGTCGCGTACGAGCTGCTGTGGCGTTTGCTGCACGCCTTGTTCAGCGTCCAGCGCGCGCTGGTCGCCTGGGGCCGCGGTTGGTTCGGAGGTCACGGCTCGTGGCTCAGCCGTTGGCGGCGGCGCGCGGCTACGGCCGCCACCGCCGCCTCGCGGGCCCTCTTAGCTCCGGCGGCGGCCGCGAATCCTTTCGCCTTCCACAAGCCGGCGGCTGTGGGGCGGAAAGTGGTGGGCGCCGGTGGCCGGTGGCGGAGGGATGCGAAATCTCTGCAGAAACTGCCGGGCCACGTGGGGCTGGTGGTGACCGAGGAGGAGCAGAGCTACGCGGATGTGGCCAGCTTAGTGGTGTGGTGCATGGCGGTGGGCATCTCCTATGTCAGCGTCTACGACCACGAAGGTAAGTCGCCTGTCATAGCCAAGTTGCTCTCACCCTTTCTCGATAGCGAGGTCGACCTTGAAAGTCCTACCGGTGGATGTTGTTTTTTTTTTTTCTGCCTGTCGTCGATCCCAGTTACAGGTTAGTCCTGGACTTAACAAGAGTTTAGTTACAACAGCACTGAATGACCATTTTTCACACTTACGACCATTGCAGGCATCCCCGTGGTCACGTAATCAAAATTCAGATATTTGGCAACTGATTCATATTTATGACTGGTTGCGGTGTCCCAGGGTTATGTTATGTTGCCTTTGGCAATATTTTGACCAGCAAAGTCAATGGGGAAGGCAGATTCACTTAACAACAGTGTTACTAACTTAACAAGTGCAATGATTCACTTGACATCTGTGGCGAGAAAGGTCATAAAATGGGGCAAAATTCACTTCATGGATGTCTCAGTTAGCAACAGAAATTTTGGGCTCAATTGTAATTGTAAGTCGAGAACTACCTATATTAAATGCCAGCTAAAGCAACTAAGGTTTGTTGAGACAGGGAGCAGCTTTATTACAGGGTATGTTTTCCTTACCTAGCATGAGCTCAGTTTGGCTGATAGAGAAAAATATAAACAGTAGAAAGTTAAGAGGTGAAGGTCAATAAAAGAACTTTTTTCAAGAAGTTCATTGGTTTTGTTATTTAGTTATTATTCGATTATGGGACTACCTGATTCCAGACGGACTCTGAGCAGTTTTTTCTGAATCTTTTTATTAGTGCCTACTGAATACAATTAGTTTAATCCCTATACTTTATTTTACTTCTCTTACTGCCCTTTAGAACATTTTATTAATTTTTTTAAACAAAAGAAACCATAATAACTAACACAAACTAATCAAGAGTAACCATTTTGACTAACTGTTTGAAAAAATAATTTTTGCAAATATTAGTCCTATACAACCTATTTTTAGATTCCAGTAAATATGTACTGATGTTAATTTTAACAGAAATATTATTGTATATATTCCCAGAACCACCCACTCTTTTGCCACCATACCAAGATCTATTTGTTCAGGAATAATGGGATGGCCTCATATTCTCCATCTCTTTGATACAGATTTTTTTTCTTTTGCCCACTGCCTGGCAATGCATATTTAATTGATTAGTCCAGAAATGGTATTGACACAAGGATCCAGAATGTTTCAGCAACTGGATCATGGTGATCTGAGTGTTATGCTTGATCCCAGGATTTTTCAAATTGTTTTCTTGAACCTTAGGGATCTGTGAAGCAGGAGCAGAATGGTATTTACAGTCCCTTAAGCTCTCAGAGCAGAGAGGTATAGGTTCCTGACAATAATATAGAGCCTATACCTCTCTGCTCTCAAACTATCATGTTCTGATTTTTGCAGTTTAAGGAATGTTTACTTATCCTTCCCCTTTATTGTCCAGTAAGTATCAAAACAGCAATACTATTTGATTCTACATAATGCCAAAAACTGAAATAAAATGTATATTGAAATTTTTAGTAAATGCTTATCTTAATGTTTTGCTTCTTTTCAAAGAAAATTAGAATTTTTCAGCCATTGTAATACCTCCTATGATTCCCATTGTTCACTACTATGTATCATCTCCACTCCACAAATGTTATGAAATAAAAATTAGAATTACTGTGTGTGGTTGTTAAATTGGCTATAGAGAAAGGAAGCACTGCTTCAGCTAGCCAAAGTAATTTCAAAGTGATTTGTCTGAAATTCTGTTATTTAAAATATTATATTTCTTCTTTTTAATTCATGAAAACTGATAAGAAAATGCCATGTATTTTGTTTTACATTGTAAGAAATCAGTCTCATTTGCCAAAAGCAGCAATATCTGATGCAGTCCTGTATGGGCTTAATTTCACTTTATTTGTTATTAAGATTCATGTGACTATGTGACTCAGACTAACATGCTGATATGTCATATAATGAACTGAAATAAAATCTTATTATTATTATTGCAAGTAGTCTTTATTTAGCAAGCACAATTGAAACTGGCAACTTGATCATTAAGTGATTGCTAAGTAAAAGCATCACTATGCTTACAATCTTCCTTCAGCTTTCTTTTGCAAATACTAGGATTGTTGTAAAGTTACTTTTTCATCACTGTCATAAGTGCAGCTTATTTTTTAAAATACTAAAATAAGATATAACTAAAGTAACTTAAAATTGCCTGGCTGATTTTGTCTAGGTTTAGAAGCTAAGAAGACATGAGCCTATTTAATACACAGATGCATGGAAAAAAATGCAAAAGGTTACACTAGGACAGGGGTGTCAAACTGCCAGCCTGCGGATCAGTTGCATCATACGGAGGCCACATCCACCCCAGCTCCGGCAATGCAAAAAAAGTCGTGATACGTCATGACACGTCATGAGATGTGGCGGGTTTGACACCCGTGGACTAGGAAGTTGAGAGTCTAATATAAATTTGGTTTATTTTTTTGTCAAAGTTACTCAAAGATTGAAGAATCTTGGGATCAAGTAAACAATTGGAAGTAATGTTTTCATCTTGAATATATGACAGCTTTTTAAAATAAAGTTGACAGGTTGCTCACTTGGATTTAGTAACCAATTTTTAAAAACTGCATAGAGTTTTTAGCTAGCTAGAACAAGAATTCTGAAGTAGTAACATTCAACTCATAGTTTGGTCAGAACTGAAATTGTGTATATACTTACCCTGTATCTTTGTGTGTGTGCGTGCATACATGTGTGTGCACATGTTTCCAATCAGTTTCTTACTAATTTTTCGACATTTAGGGCTAAATATGAATCAGTTGCCAAACATCTGAATTTTGATCACATGACCATGGAGTGGCTGCAATGGTCGTAAGTGTGAAAAACGGTCTTAAGTCATTTTTTTTCACTGCTACTGTAACTTTGAATAGTCACTAAATGAACTGTTGTAAGTCGAGGACTACATGTATAGTGGCAACAGTTGACATTCAATGGAATGCTGCATCATTCCTATGCTATATAGATATAATTGTCATTATTTGCAGATACTTTTTTGGTTTTGAAAAACCTGAAAGGTACATGCCCAAATTAGAAGCTCTGTGTGATTTATAACATTTTATAATGCAAAGTCATTCTGTAGCTACTGTTAATGGTTCAGACCAGTACCACTGGTATAATAGTGGTTCTTATCTGTGTCCAAGAATGTGTGCTTGTTTTTTTGTTTCTCTTTAAAACAAAAGCCTAGTTTAGTTATCTTTAATACCTATTGCTGGGACATTGTGTGTGTGTGTGTGTGTGTGTGTGTGTGTGTGTAGAGATAGATAACAGCTCAGGATAATCAAAACCTGTATCACATTATGAAATTAACCTTAGAATTTGCTAGCAGAAGAAATATAATATTAACTTTTATTTAAAAGCTCGGATTTTCCTGTTGCTAATAAGGCAGAAGCTTTAAAATTCAGCAGAGAAGTAGGTTATGCTTTGTTTAAGAATAAGTCAGGTATCAGGTTTGACCTAATTATAAGGATTTTTTCCCCCATGCTGTTGATTACTGATTCATTTTCCTTTGGTGTGAGAAGTTATGTTATAATGACAGAGTGTAACACAGTAGAATATTTGTTCTAGAACAATTGCCAGGACTGTCCCAAATTCTGGTCTTTTTGTGAATACTCTGTAACTAAAGGCATCTTGAGCTTATGTGTACCAAATAGCAACTCTTCCATGCTGAGTGCCTCAGCATCTGGCTGACTTTGGCTGTGGAAGCTATGCAGATTTCAGCCTATTTAGTACTCAGATGAAAGATAAGCAATGCAAGGGAGGTAAACTAAACTGGATAGTTGAGAAAACATCTTGAAAGAAAGCAGTGACAAACTATTGACATATCCCAGAAATCATGAGAAGCTGAACTCAAATGAGATTTTAACTTTACTACATTGTGCAACTGATTAATTTCTGATATGGAATGAAGGAGTTTGTTTATAGGTAGAAGGGATGTCCCTAATTTTGTGGTTTTTGAAGTATATGTTTTAAAAATTCAATTAAAATTTATAGCAATGTATACTTGTTCCTACTCTCTGTCCAATGGTTGAACATACAATTGTGTGCAGAAGATATATTTCAGGTCTGTCTGGTATTTAAACTCTCTTTTGATTGCAGAGTCAAATCTCATGGAAAATAATGGTTCCAAATCAGTGTCAGACATTTTATACAACTAGAAATCTGTATGTACTCGAATTCAATTTTTGAATACTTTTCCTGGAGTACATCCCATACTGTTTTTAAGGACAGCAATTGGGAAAAAAGGGAATCTGTCTTGCAAATGGCCAACCAGTTATGTAATTTGGGATGGCTATTTAGAATATAGAATTTAGTCCCTGTTGTGCTATATCACTCCTTGTTGTTGTTGTTGTTAATTGCGAAGTTGTGTCCGACCCATCACGACCCCATGGACAACGTTCCTCCAGGTCTTCCTGTCCTCTACCATCTTCTGGAGTCCATTTAAATTCACACCTACTGCTTCAGTGACTCCATCCAGCCATCTCATTCTCTGTCGTCCTCTTCTTCTATTGCCCTCAATCTTCCCCAGCTTAGATACTATTATCTATTAATTGCTAATATTTTTTCTACAAAAAATGGTGAAATAATTTATTTATCTTATTTTTCTCTGTATCTTACACAAATTGTAAAATAAATGTTTACTGCTTTTCATCACTTTCATGTCCATTTTTCTACATGCAACCTATGACAACTACTTGTTGGAATCTAGGATATAACATTTCAAGTTTTCCTTATTACCATACAAACAAAATATTTAACAATTTTACTGCGCCTCAGAATCAACCCACCAATAAATAAATCTGGGAGTTATCATTTTTATTCCTATCATTTTCTTAGCCATTCCTCATCACAGAAACACTGCCCAGACATGAAAGTGTGGGATTGTCAGGATTAGCCCTTGTTTGGTGATGATGTAATGGATAAGGTCCATCATGATTGGCGGCAGCCACTCACGTTCTATCCAAGCATGGTTTAGCAGACAGTTTACAATCCTTCATGCTGGAGTTTGAATCTGTCCTTTCAAAAGACAGAAAGGAAAGTTATTCACTAGCACACAAAACACCAATGAAGCTATACTACTCCTTAGTATAGTCCAAAAGAGGTTTTAGTTTGTTCTTGTAGTTAAATAAGCATTTATTTATGCTACCTTTGCAAGATACAAGATCTCTGTATGACCCCAATCATAAGATTTTGAGTGGCTTATATAATTATAAAATCGCAAACTAATCTTAAAAGAATAAAAAAAGGAACTTGGCCTGTAATACATGGCACAAATATCCCTGAAAATTATATGTATTTAAAAAACACCTAATAAAAGAGGATTGCCTTCACCTTCCTTCTGAATAATGACAGTGGGGAGGGGATCTTTATATTAAGGCATATGTTCAAAATGGACAGTCACAATGAAAGCAAGTTATCTAGTCCCCCTCTCCTTATCTTTACAGAGAGTGGGTATGCAGCATGCCATCATAATTCAAATATGTAGAACAAATAGATTCTACCTACAATAACCAGGACTAAGCCATGAAGAACTTTAAAAGTGATAAGCATTTTGAGTGAAATGTATAGAATGGAGAAGTATTGCTGTGCTGAATCAACTTACTACACCAAGTAAAGTTTCTGAACATTCTTCCTGGGCAACTCCAAGTAATCTCTAAATATCATTTTTGCAGCAAGATAAAAAAAATTACCAGCACATGTTCTTTCTCTTCTTTTCCCAAGGTATTTTCAAAAGAAATAATTCAAGGCTGATGGATGAAATTTTAAAACAGCAGCAGGAATTGTTGAATCTTGGCTGTTCCAAATATACAGTGAAATTTGCAAATCAGGAGAAAACAGATCAAGGTAAGATAATTTTTTTAAAAACCCTGTATTGTTATTGAAGACTAAAATACATTGATTACACAAAACTACTCCACAAATACTGGTGACTTAGTTTCTTGAATGGGAAATTTCCATGATCACAAGTTCTTATAGATTTGGGTGTATACAAGTCAGTAGAATAAGACAGATCTATATAAAAATGAATTAAGAAAATTTTGATTCTAAACTTCTACTGGAATATTATTATTATAGCAAAGAATTAGGGATTTTCTACAAAGCATATTTTAGTAGGATTATTTAAGTAGCAGTTGCACTTAGACTTATATACCACTCCACAGTGCTTTAGAGCCGTCTCTAAGCTGTTTACAGAATCAGCCTATTGCCCTGAACAATCTGGGTCCTCATTTTACCGACTTCAAAAAATGGAAGACTAAGTCAACCTTGAGCTAGCCAATACTGCATTCTAACCACTGTGCCACCACTGCTTACCAGTAGTAGGAACTTTGAGAAATTGCAGAGTTATGGGGGAAATGTTATTTTTAACTGGAGAATTGTAAGCCTCTAACTTTGGAAAAAAACTGATTTTAAGCAACCGTTTCTGTTCTTCCACTTTCATTGTTTTATTTTAATTTCAACTGCAGTTTTAAATTGCCAATCTGTATTGAACGTGCTGTCCTCAGAGGATGGAAAAACAGATATCGTAAGAGCAGCTCAGAAATTTTGCCACTTAGTAGCACAAAAGCAAAAGAAATGCACAGATCTGGATATAAACATCTTGGAGAATTTATTAAGCAGTAAGTGTTAAAGCAGAATTTATTTACTTTTTTTGAGTAGTTGTTGGTGTAAAATGGCTAAACTAACAGTAATAATTTTTTTAAACATAATCAAACTCTTGGTGTAAATATTTGGATTACATATTCACTACAGGTAGTCCTCAACTTATTACCAGTTGTTTAGCGTCCTTTTGAAATTATGACAGACCCACCAAAAGGTATTTACAAACCAGTTTCAAAGTTACAATGACTGCATGTTCCCTCCACAGTGACACGATCACATTTTGGGTGCTTGGCAATCGATTCAGCTTTATAGCTGTTTGCAGTGTCCCACCACTACATGCCCACGATTTTCAACGTTTTTTGCTGTTTTCCAGCAGAAAACATCAATCACTATTATGGATTCCCTTAATGACTGTGGTCTTCGCTTAAAGACTACCACGCTTGGTTAATGACCACCTCAAAAAGTCTCATAAAGTCATGTCCGATTACATAATGACCTGCTTCACATCTTCAACAACTCATGACTGTAATTCCAGACGGTTGTAAGTCAAAGACTACCTGTATTCAGTCTCTACATTCTATGGGGTTACTTTGTAGAAGAACTCCTTTTGAAATATGTCTTTGTAATTCTTGCTGTATAAGTGTTCCTTGCCAAATAAGTGCAGTCATTATTTGTAATGGTACATGGCCTCATGGAAGAAAATCCATTTAATTTGGAAAAAATTCACATTTGTTTCCAGATTTATATGCAGGGGGTACCAAAAGCCAGATCCGATAGATAATTTATTTTATAAATTATATTCAGTTGGTTGCTGTTTCTTTTAAACACTTCCTTATTCATTTGATGTTTGATTTTCAAATATTCCTAAATATGGTAACATTTTATTTGGGAAACAACAACAACATATGATTGGCCTTCGCGGCCTGACATTTAGGAATACTCTATGTATTAAATCTGTGGATCTGAGCATTTATCTTCCATTAATACTCAAAATTGCCCATTTCATTGCAGATACAGATACTTAAAAGCAGTGTTCTGAATGTGGAATTTATTTGTTTTGACTGAATTACTTACAAGCTGTTTAATGTTTCAAAAATCCATGTGGGATAATTGGCCCCCAGAATTTGCTTTTCTGTGAATATATTATTTGGCTACAGTGTATTCTGCTGACTAGGCTATTTCAACTCTATTCATGAAGCAGAATGTTATGGTGAACCTGTGTTATACCTCTGATAAACTGGGTAGTCTTGATTCTGCAATGTTATTGTGCCCTTTTTCTAGGTACTAATGGCTTTCCTGATCCTGACCTAATAGTAAAGTTTGGTCCTGTGGACAGTGTCCTGGGATTTCTTCCCTGGCAAATCAGATTGACAGAGATTGTGTAAGAACATATAATTCTTATGTATTTTCAGTAGTTTTGAATCTGATGTTCAATATGATAGGAAAGTGTGGATATTGTAGTAAGTCAAGCAAAGAAAACAGTTCTCTCCAATTATGTTGAGGGCTAAATAAGAGATGCATCACAATGGGTATTAGAAATATATTGACAATTTTTCTCTTGTACCCTTTTGCAAAGCAAGAATGATCAAAATGCAGCTTCAGTGTTTCGTGTCATTCTCTCCAGATTGCAGTAGCTCACTAATTTTCTTCACTAGACTAACAAAAATAGATGTGTTAAGCTCACAGTAGGCTAAATTGTAATTTTAAACACTTCCCTCTAAAATGGAAAAAAGGATTCAACTTCGTTGATATCACCCCCCATTCCTGCCTGCCCTCGAACACTGAAAGCATTAGGAAAAAATGCTTCTTCCAGCCTCAAAAATTGCCAACTGCAGAAAGAAAAGTACATATTCATGAACAGCTCAGATTAATAGTTTGCTTGCTAATACATACTTTATATTATTATTGACCCAGTATATAATCATAAAAGATGTAAAAAATTTTGATAATCAGTATAATGTAGGTCCTGTCACCTTGTTAACATTCTATTTGTCCTGTGGAATGACTTGCTCTCTATGACATGTCTGACACCCACACAGAGGCAATTTAGGAATCTCTAAAAATCCATCTTTTTATGTTTGCCTTTTCTAGCCATTTACTCCTTGTAATATTTGCTTTTCTATTTTTATGACTATTATAAATCACTTTGGATGTTTTTGAATTATGAGAAATGGTTTGAAAATTAGGGCTGTGTAATACTCTAGATTAAAAGGAAAAATTATTTCAAGACTATTTGAATGTACACTTTCTTAAATCCAATGCATCTTTGTATGATATATTACAGCAACAGCTGTACAAGCCCAGAAAAGATGCAATTTCTATAAGACATAGCTATATGAGTATCCCTAAATATTCCAAATATTTTATCCCTTTGAATATGGATTGGGCTATCCACTAAGAAAAAAATACAAATAATAAAGTCCTTTCAGATTGGCATCTCTAACTTTTAAATATTTAAAAGTTATAGATGTATTTAAACAGGTTGCAAACCTATTTAATAATTAATTAAAGCCAACAATGTCCAGAAGAATCTTGTGGTTTTTCAGTTGTTGCAGAATAGCAAGCTTTGGATTAATAGTGAGTCTGATGAGAACTATGATTCATCAGTATCTGATGGGCTACAGGTATCCCATCCCTGCAGTAAATTTCTTTTTTTCTTATTAGTGAATATCTTTCCATCATTTGAGCAAATTCATGTTGAATCTGAACTCTTATGTTCCATGGAGAAGAATATTCTTACCATAAGAGAGCACCTCTAACTATCTACTGTGTACTTTTGCACATAGGTACTACAAGTTGGGGAAATCTTGTGGAATCTTATGTATTAAGAATAGATTCTTGTATAGCCAAATAATATGCATCTGTTAGCATATTCCTCGGCTATAGAGTTGATAGAAAATTTGAAATATCCTTAAGTTCATATGTTGTTATAAAATTTCTATGTTCTCCAGCATGTAGAGGAATGTAGAATCCACGAATTGGTTTTAGAAGTCCTCTAGCCCATTTAGACCAATCAATCAAAGTTACCACGCCCCTGCAGGATCTGACTATGCCCCAGTTTCTTTTGGTCTCAGCCCTGAAGAGATGTGGAAATTTGGCTCCCGATTATAACTTAGAACAGTGGTGGCAAACCTATGGCACAGGTGCCAGAGGCGGCACTCAGAGCCCTCTCTGTGGGCACGCACGCTGTCACCCCAGTCCTAGGCCTTCAGCTGGGTTTTATAAAACCTTTTCTCTTTAGGCCTCCACCGCCGTGTACAAAAAAAAAGGTTCAATCAATTTCAACTTCTCGCGGGAAAAAAGAGATCTTGCCAAGTTGGAATTAATTGATTACCCCACCCAGTCTGCTGTTACCACTGCAGCAATGCCCATCCAATGGGCCACGCCCACCCTACACTCGACGATGCATAAGTGGGTTTTAGGTTGCAATTTGGGCACTTAGTCTCTAAAAGGTTCGCCATCACTGGCTTAGAAGGACAGGTAGTAATTATCCATTCGTGGATTCTTTGTTCCTTTTGGGGGGAATGTTTCCATTTTCAACATCAATTTCCTTCCCAGGCAAGCCTTCTAGCTTTCCTGATTTCAGCATGCCTTTCTAGCCTCAGGCTGATTCAGCATGCTTTTCTAGCCTCCTGCTGATAGCCAGCCGATCATCGCTGTGATCACCCCTCCTCTCCCCTAGGTCACAGCTTCCCAGCCTCTTTTCTCTTGAGTTCAGTAAACTCGCCTTCAGGGTTCCCCTTGCACAGGGAAGCTCCATAATTACAGAACTTTCCCTGGGTTCCTTTACTTGTTTGTTTGAGCCTCTACGTGCGATCGTGGTCTTTTAAGAATATCTTTCTTTGCCTTTGCCGGTTACTTCTTTGCAGGCTTTTCTTCTCCCTCTCCTGGCAACCGCCATCTTAGGCAACCACGTGGCTAGCAAGGGAAAATTCTCTGAATCAATCCTCTGGTATTTCTTTCTAATTAACATCTACAGCGTGCAGCTTCATTATTTTATATTATGTTATATTATAATATTTTATATTATATTATATTCATTATCACTTTGTCTTCATTATTTTATATTATAGCATATTGTATTATAATATCTTATATTATACTATATTCATTATTACTTTCTCTTCTAAAAATATACAGTGTTAAGCACCTCACATTCCTGCCTGCTGGATTGCAACGTCCAGTGACAATAGATTGGGTAATTTCTTGCATTACCTATTCTGCTGTCTGCATCTAGTGGACTGGCTGTTGCTGTCCTAGCTGCCACTAAGTGAGACATGAGGGTCCCCCATTTAAAAAAAAATAAAAAATTAATTATTAATTTTAATGATAATAGTCAATAAAAATTGGCATAAATTACAATATTAATTCAATTGTTCTCAGTACCCACAACTAGGGGTCTGAACGATTGAAAGGGGAGAGGATAACTCCCTGGGTGACATGCGGCTTATATCGCGCAGTGTGATTCCGTGCTTAACGGCGGACCGGATTTCACAGATCCTCGTGTAGCCTCGTCTCCTGCAGACCAGAACAGTTCCAGGGATTTGCTGGAAAACTCCTGTTTCTTGTTCAACATGGCGGATAACACCGTTCCACAGGCTCCCACTTCTAGTGGAAATATGAAACGCAAGTCACCCAACCAAGATGCGACCTCAAAGGTCAAAGCAAAGACCAAACGGGTCTCTAAGGCAGCCAAGAAACAGGCAGATAGCAGACATAGGTCATTGGAACGACAATTCTCCAAGGCCCAACAACGGGCAGCAGAGGTCCAACCTATCTCCACTTCCCCTTCCCTAGCAACTACATCAGAGGGCCCACGTCCCTCTCCCTTTGCACAGGCTTGGACCCCCGAGCAGACCCTTGAACAGGGTCCCTTACTTGGATACAGTTGGGACCATCTGTCTCTCTTTGATCAGGATCTGAGAATGCAGGTCCAAGACCCGATTCCAGCCACAGAACTCACTCCAGCCTCAGTAGCATGTGGAACCTCAGGCGGGTTTTCTGTGGCGGGTCCTCAGATCCCGTCAGCGTCTTTCACTCCAACGGCGGCGGGACTCCGACCCCCTGAACAGCCTTCATTCACCGTCCAGTTCCAGGCCATGATTTCGCAGGTGGTGGTTCAGGCCATGGCCTCTTCTGTGAGGGCCCTTCCGATTCCAGGACAGTCAAACCCCACTACATCTACGGGGACTACATATCCCACAGATTATGAGCTCCCAGATCTGGCCTCACCACCACAATCTGGGGGAGTGAGGTATCAGAATATTCTGAACAGGCCCTAGAAGAGGGCCTGTGGTCAGATGATGAGGATACTCACACGGAAGCCACTCCCCTGGTTGGTGTTTTTAACCCTAATTCCTTTTCTTCCCTCTTGCGCAAGGCCTGCGTCACTGGAAAGATTGAACCGGTGAAACCCCAAACAGCTGATCAGGGCTCTGGTCAGAGTTCTGTCCCACTGTTGTCGGAACCGGTTACAAAAAACCAACAGATCCCTTGCCCTCCCATGTTTTTGAAATCCATTCAGGATCAATGGGGATCCCCTGGTACCTTCTCAGCCCTTGGAGGAATAGACCGTAAACTCTTGGACACGGTCTCTTCCCTCAATGATGTACTGGAGATCCCGGGAGTAGATGAGTTTCTTTCTCCCATATTGTCAGACTCCAAGATTCCAGGGGATATGTCGGAGGCTCTGAAGGCTGAGGACAAGAAATCTGAGGTTTCTTTCCGCAGAACACACCAGGCCTCAGCATGGGCAATAAGAGCCTCAACATCAAACTCCTTCTTCGCCAAAATTTTGCTAATGTGGCTTCGTGAACTCCAATCTAGAATCTCCCCAGACGAGGTAAGGGTGCACCAGGACGTCACAAAGTTGAGAGCTGAACTAGAATACATGGAGGAGTGTCCCTGCAATCGGCCAGGTTTTCAGCCCGAGCCATAGCATCCAGCATCGCTGCATGTCGGTTGTTCTGGCTTAAGAATTGGCGGGCCAACACCAGACACAAATGGAGGGTGGCTGCTGCACCGTACCAGAGTGGTAGCCTCTTTGGTGAAAAAATAGAGAGAAAATAGATTGAAAATAGAGAGAAGAAGAGAGTTCTCTCTCATCTTTCCAAAAGGGCGGGCAGACATTTTACTCCATATGCTCACCGCCTGTCGTTTCGGACAGGCTCAGACCTGGCCGCAGGGAATGGTTCTCGGCCCTTTCAAGTGGGGCCGGACTGTTCCTCAGACAGGTCCGGCTACAGAGACAGGCCAAAACCACAATTTCAGGCCAAGTGGCCTTTTCGTGGTAGGGAAGGTCATCCCTTCCGTAAGTCAAAATTACTCGGAGCAGACCCCTCCTATCAGCGGCAGACTGACATATTACTTCCACAAGTGGGAAGACACCACCACAGACACCTGGGTTCTCACCACCATCAGAGATGGTCTGTCTCTGGAGTTCTTGACCTCCCCTCCTCGGCGTTTCATCGCTTGCCCCCTATCGCAAAATCCCGTAAAGCAAGGTCTCATGAAGGAGGCCATTCAACATTTGCTAAACATAGAGGCCATAGAGCAAGTACCACCGAATCAATGGAGATGGGTTCTACTCCATCCTCTTTGTGGTTCCGAAAGCCTCGGGGGGGTTGGAGGACAATACTCGATCTCAAGACCCTAAATTCATACCTTGTGTATCACAAGTTCAAAATGCAGACCCTTCATTCCATTTTGGGCAGTATTCATCAGGGGGATTTTGTGACGTCAATAGACCTTACAGAAGCATACCTTCACATCCCCATACATCCGGGTCACAGACGGTTTCTCAGATTCAGGTATTCCAACCATCATTACCAGTACAAGGCCTTACCATTCGGCCTGTCATCAGCCCCCAGGGTCTTCACCAAAATCCTGGTGGTTCTTGCCGCATAGCTCAGATTGGTGCCGGTCCACGTTCAGTGCTACTTGGACGATATTCTAATCCAGTCGTCATCGGTACTGAACACTCATTCGGACTTGGCACTGACAATTAGGATGCTTCAAGATCACGGCTTTCTGATGAACTTTCAAAAAAGTCACTTGACTCCAACCAATCGGCTGTTACACATGGGCACAATAATAGATACTAACCTGTGCCAAGTTTTCTTATTGCAAGAGCGTCAGGTCAGCATTCGTACACTAATCCTCAGAATGCGCAGAAAAAAACGGTTGACCCTACTTCTGCTCTCACAACTGTTGGGGAAGCTGATTTCCTGCATTGCCATAGTACCGTGGGCCAGGCTCCACACGAGACAGCTCCAGTGGTTTCTGCTTCCCTACCAGTGGGTACGGGTCCCTGCACTAACGCTTACATCTCTTCTCTGGTGGCTATTCCCAGCTTTGTCCAAGGGCTCTCTTTTCAGAGAACCAGTTCGGGTGACCTTGACCATGGATGCCAGCCTATTCGGATGGGGGGCACACCTCCAACTTCAGTTTACCCAGGGGTGGTGGTCCCAACGGGATCTCAAACAGAGTATCAATTGGTTAGGACTCAGAGCCATATACCTGGCACTTTGTCATTTCCACGAAAAGGTTGTGGGTTGCCACGTGCTGGTCCTGATGGACAACATGGCGGCAAAGTCCCATGTAAACAGGCAGGGCGGAACCCGATCTTGGGCTCTGATGTCCGAGGCCCGACTACTGGGGTCATGGGCGGAGAAAAATCTTCTGTCCCTAAGGGCAGAGCATATATCGGGGGAGGAGAACCAACAGGCGGATTTTCTGTGTCGATCCACAGTAGATCATTCAGAGTGGCGCCTGCATCCACGCCTCTTTCGGGAGATCACTCATCGATTCGGTCGGCCCAGGATAGACCTGTTTGCTTCCCTAGTGAACGCCCAACTTTCCCGGTTTCTCTCTTGGTATCCCTCTCAGGGTTCGGAGGGAGCAGATGCCCTCTGCAGTCCTTGGCCGGAGGGCCTACTATATGCCTTCCCACCTCTCCCTCTGATTCCGGCCGTCATCAGGAAACTGTTGCAGGAACAGGCGGAACTGATTTTTGTGGCCCCACACTGGCCGAGACGTCCATGGTTCGCGGATCTCGTGAACCTTGCCATAACTCATCCATGGAGAATTCCTCCAGAGCGGATAACTTTTAACACAAGGGGCCATACGGCACCCAGATCCGCAGTGGCTCCAATTAGCCATATGGCATCTGAACACCAGTTCCTGACACGGGGATCTTATTCCCCCAGAGTGATATCTATGATTCAGGCTTCAAGGCAGCCGGCAACGAACCGAATTTACGATGCCACTTGGAGGAACTTCTGTGACTGGTGTAACCACAAGGGTTTGTCTACCTCTTCTGCCACTATTCCAAGAATTCTTGAATACCTCATGGATGGAGTGGATATGGGCTTGGCGCCCAACACTATCCGTAGGCAGGTGGCTGCACTTTCCACGGTATTCACCTGTGCCAACTCCACGCCGTTGTCTCACCACCTGAGGGTTCGATCCTTTATCAAAGGAGTCACCAATAGCAGACCCTCTGTAGTACATCGGTACCCCTCTTGGGAGCTGCCCCAAGTTCTACAGGTTCTTACGGGAACCCTCTTTGAACCTCTCAGATCTTGCTCTGTTCGTTATTTGTCCCATAAGGTGGTCTTCCTGATGGCCATCACACTGGCAAGATGGGTTTCTGAACTGGCTGCTCTTTCTGTTAGGGAAGACCTGTGTGCCTTCCACCAGGACAGAGTGGTATTGCGATTGGATCCCCTGTTCATCCCCAAGGTGAATACACTATTTCACCGGGCCCAGGAAATCATTCTACCAAACTTCTGTCCCAATCCTTCCCACACACGGGAACGGCAGTGGCGTTTCCTGGACGTGCTCAGGGCACTGCTTTATTACCTTAAGAGGACTGCCCCTTTTCGTAAATCGGAGGCACTCTTTGTCTCCTTCCACGCAGGTTCCAAAGGGCAGAAGGTCTGCTCTTCTACTATTGCCCGGTGGATTAAGGCCTGTATCGCTGAATCTTACCGGGCCTATTCTTTACCAGTTCCAAGCCACTTAACGGTGCACTCTACATGTAGCACTTCCACATCAGCAGTATGGCAAACTCAGGCTTCCATAGCTGATATCTGTAGGGCGGCGACGTGGTCGTCCCCTTCACCTTTCATATATCATTACAAGCTCGACAAGTTTGCTTCTGCAGAGGCCGCATTCGTACGCCGGGTCTTACAGCAGGTGGTCCATTTCAACATCGACACTTGACCGGCCTGCGTCCCACCCGCGGGCTCATAGGGGCTTTGGTATGTCCCATTTGTGGATTCTACATTCCTCTACATGCTGGAGAAGGGGGCGTTGTCTTACCTGAATGCCTTTTCTCAGCATGAGAAATGTAGACTCCACCCCCTCCCTGTTCACTTTAGCAGTCAGGTCAATGTCAGCAATTCGGGAGCCACACGTCACACAATCATTGGCTTTGCCCTTTTTTGAAACTGGGGAATGGTCAGACCCTGCAGAAGCGTGGCAACTTTGATTGATTGGTCTAAATGGGCTAGAGGACTTCTAAAACCCATTCGTGGATTCTACATTCCTCATGCTGAGAAAAGGCATTCAGGTAAGACAACGCCCCATTTGTCATTTATCAATCTGATTAATAGTTCAAAGCAATTTTTTAGGAAAGTAATTACAAACTTAAGTATTGTATGCATTCCCAATTATACTTAGTTTTCTTTCCAATTATTTTTTCTCAGTTCTTTGCCTTCGCATGTGAATGTCAGCTATGATGAATTCTTCTCTGCCCTTTGTTACTATGCATCCTGTGATCAGCGTGTTGGAAAATGATTTATTGCAGAATTCTATCAAGATTTCTTTGGAAAGGACCAAGGTCTCTGTTTACAAATAGCTGTGATACATGCAAGTCCAGTACATAGTCTTTTAATTTATCAAACTCAATAAAGTGTCTTATCCTTTTTAGAATTTGTATGTGTGTGTACTCATAATCTGTGAAGGTATGAGAAAGCAATGGTTTACTGCTGTCTAATAATGGTATATCATGAACGTTGTAAAAATAGTTGTTTAAAGATTTCAGACTTATTTTTTCCAGTGATCAAATTCTTATTACTAGAAATATTTACATGCAATTATATATATAAAAAAGTCAAAGTAGCACTGCAGTCAATAAAGTGCACATTCTCAGCTGAAGTCACCTCATAAATTTCTGAAATCTTACTTTACATCTTTTTCACCAGACTTACACTTGACTTCCTTAGCCCTAGATTCTAGGAACACATTGTGAATTGATTATCTGCAAACATTTATAAAAATGTCTGACAGGGTGAGACTGGACAGAGGGAACAACTAATGTTAAAACTGATTAAGATTAAATCAGCAATTATGGGAATTATGGGCTTTATAATTATGGACCATTCTTTCTGTCTGGGAGAGCTGAAGTTTAAATAGCATGGTGGATTGTGTGGAAGAATGGATGTGGGAATAATGGAGCATCCTTATGTAAACTGAACTTTTCCAAATGCAACATGAACAATTGGACCTCTCTATTCTATTTTAGAATAGCATATTAACATCTCAGAGTGAAGGTAAGTTTTTTTAAAAGGCTTGTGTTTTCCTTTATGAAAAAGATTGGCTCTATTTTCAACATGAATATTCACCATGTTATCTTTATTTCAACCATACGTTAACCCATCTGGATGATGATGAGTGTGGCAGAATACACTCAGTTTATGTCTGGCTAAGAAACAGTAGCACCAAACAGTGAATGTTAATTCAATACGTGCTGATAATTTTTTTGAATTTTGACATCAATACACTGTAACATGATTACTTGCATAAATGATTGTGGCAGTTATTGTGTGACAGTGTATTAATAAAACAATGCAACAAATGTATTGAGGCTAAAATTCATTTATTTGTCAGCTAATTTCCTGCAGCAACTTTGTAGTGCTGCTTAATATATATAATGTGAGATTTTTCTCCAAACCTCTAACTTAATATTATATCCCTAAGTCCTTGCAAGTTTTTAAACAGACTGTCCAGTGAATACTGTTTCAATTGCATATTTTTAAGAATAGCAAAACCATTTTTATGATAATATTTTGGTTTAAAAGGGAACAGAAACTTGAATCTATTTTGTGAATGTCTTTTTTGTAAATATCTCCAATTAATGGAGTAAAATATTGCAGAATATTGAGAATAGTATTTTTCTCCTTTTTTAAATAAAAGTGGTACTTGATACATCTGTGACAAAATTATGGATTAACTGACCATGGGGTGTTTTTGTTTTAAAAAAAGAATGCTTACTACTGTGAGCTTATGATGTAAATGGGCATCAAGACAATATACATAGATCCTGGAATTTCAAAATCTATCTTCCAATTTCTGCTATAGTGATCATAAATGTGCAATATATTTCAGGAATGTTCATGCATCCATTTCTATGAAGTCGTTCAGGAAACTGCATTTTAATGAAGATAGGTTTTGGAACATATTCTACAGAAAATACTGAAAATTATGACTTGGTGTATGTAAATTAATTGAAAGACCTAATGAGAACTGACATCTAAATATCAGAGCTATGAGCTTAGCAAAACAATTATAGTGTAAGTTATGAGAAACAAAATAGCAAATTCTCCAGCATGAGGATGGATAATCCATGGATTGGGTTTCCTGACGTCCCTTCTACCCAATTAGACTAAGACTGAGAGATAGCCACGCCTCTTGCTGGGTCACGTTTACCCACTTCCATCTTAGTCTTTACCCAGACAAGATGCATTGGTGCTTCTCTCCAGACTCAAGTTTATTTTAAAAAAAATGTTTTCCCTTATTCCTATCCGTGGATTATCCTTCCTTTCCCCTTTAATTTCTCTTCAAAACACTGTATTTTTCCTGTGCTTTCCTCCCTCAGGTCGCCCCTTCCCCACCGAGTCCTTTTTGTTTACATTCCTCAGCTGTTGCAGCCTCAGCACGAGGCTTGTGTTTCTTCGGGTTGAGTGCTCAGGGCTTTGGGAAGCCTGTAGCCTCAGCACGAGGTTTCTTTGTTTACCTTTTGCTTTTCGGGGCTTTGGGGAGTTGCGGAGCTTTCCATTCGATCCAGCTGGTCAGCGGATCTCCGCAGAGGCCCAGGGCAACAGCAGTTCATCCCAGACTGCTGAGGTCTCAGCGGGGGGCCTGTTTCACTTTATTTGCAAGGTTTGCAGTACCACGGAGCCTTCCGATCGGCTTGGTCGATTGAGGGACTGCTGCGGAAGCCCAGAATGACAGCTGATCGTCCGAGCTTTGTCCAGACAATCGCGGCTACCGACGAGTCACCACGTGGCTGGCAGCCACCATTTTATTTTTTTGGGCAAGGCCTGTTCTGCAGGGCCGGCGTTAGGGCCATAGGTTGATCGCCATGTGGCTGGCGGTTGCCATTTTGGAATTAAAAAATAAAAATAAAAAAATACTTATTGCACAGTTTAATTTCTCAACTTCTTTTGTCAGCAACAAAAGAGAGATTTAAGGCTAAATTAACCTTTCTGGTCTTGCTGAGTGGCTGGAACAGTTTCCCCCTCCCCCATTTCTGGGGAGGGCTGACCTAGTGGAGACAATCTCCAAGCATTTTTCCCCAGCCACATCCACTTGTCATTGCCTCTGGCAATTTATTGCAACAGTATAATTGAATTGTCTTTCATTGGGAGTTGGTTTCTCTCACCTCTACTGCCTACTAAGAACCTATTTGTCATATGCTGTGTTTCACATTTGTTTTTGGCAAGGAGCTCACATACTGGTCTCTCCAGTCTCTGCAGTCCCACACTGGGCCTCCAGCTCCTAGCCTGTTCTAGAACCATTCTCAGACTTGTTCTGAAGGGTCTCAGGCCTAGCTCTCTTGCAAGGAGTCCATACTGGTTTTCCAGCCTTTATTGCCTGGTGCAACCCATTCTCAGACTTGTGCTGAAGGGTCTCAGGCCTAGCTCTTTTGCAAGGAGTCCATACTGGTTTTCCAGTCCTTACTACCTGGTACAACCCATTCTCAGACTTGTGCTGAAGGGTTTTTCAGGTCTTACCTGCTGTGCCAAGAGCCATACTAGTTTTACCAGTTTTCTACTGTTTTTCACCTTAAGATCTTACTTCTTGCTTTTCTTAGACCCATTCTCAGACTTGTGCTGAAGGGTACACAAGCGATGGCTGAATACAAGCAGCCTCAACTAGTTCTGGCACCCACCAGTCCTCCAAGTAAAAGGAGATGCAAATCTCCAAAAGCGGAGGCAGCCGGCAAAGCAAAAGCAAAGGCCTTATCTGGCAAAGCGTCATCAAAGACGGCGGAAAAGGAGGCCGCTAGGAGACATCAGGACCTAGAGAGGCAGATATCCAGGGCTCAAAAGACAGCTCCATCACAACATGTGCAAGTGCATCTGAGACTTCTGAGACTTCTCCTTTCAGTCCTCAGGTAATCATAATTGCACAGGTTCGTAAGCCATTGTCTCCGGAGGGTGGGTCTCAATCTTGACCCATTAGTCCCATGACATCTAATCCTAGTCCAAGCTGGGGGGGCTCCCTCGCTTAATCCTCAACCTACTCCATCGGCCACGTTCACACCCACGGCCGCTGGTCTCCGTCCTGAGTCACAGACAATTGCACCAGAGCAACTCCAATCCATGCTCATGCAGGTATTAGACAGTCTCTCATCCCTACAGAAATCCCAAACCTTGACACTCTCCCAGCGTTGGTCTACCACTCCTGATTATGCTTATTCCATTACTTCCTATCAATCCTCACAGAGTGGGATTCTTATTTGGAAATTGATGAATCATGAGCCCTCCCCTTTTGTAGGCCTCTTTGATCCCACTCTATTCAAGACCATTCTAGCCAAGACCATGGCCACATCCCAGATCGCCCCAGAGCCAGACCCACAACCCACCCCTTCCACCAGTCAGTCTTCAAATCCTCTGTTTGCTGAGCCCATGGTGACTCAAAGACATATTCCTTGTCCTCCATTGCCAACACAGTAAGAAAACAGTGGACCAATCCTGGGGTTTCTCCTGTCCCAGGGTCCTCTGACACAAAGCTGTTTAGCATGGCGCCATCCTTAACCAACCTCCTGGAGGTCCCGACTATGGACACATCCCTTACTCCCATTTTTTCAAAATCCACTATTGCTGGAGATATGGCGGAGGCATTAAGACTGGAGGAGAGGAAATCTGAGTACGCACTAAGAAGGGCGCATCAAGCATCAGGGTGGGCGGTAAAGGCTTCCACGTCATCCTCTTCTCACAATCTTCTATCACCTGGCTCCGGGAGCTTCAGAGCATGATCCCGCAGGATCAGGTATGCGCCCATCAGATGTTGGGTAAGTTTTTAGCGGCGGTGGAATACATGGCCGATGCCACATTGCATGCCACCCAATTTTCAGCCAGAGCGATAGCAGCCAATGTTTCTACCAGGCGACTGCTTTGGCTGAAGCAATGGCGGGTGGATCTAAAATCCAAAGGGCGTTTGGCCACTGCTCCTTACTCGGGCAGAAAATTATTTGGGGAAGCCCTGGAGCCATACTTGATAGAAAACAAGGATAAGAAAAAGGTACTTGCTTACCAGGCCAGGTGATCGGACAGGAAGTCTGCTCCCTTTTATTGCTGTCAGGGATTCCGGGGCAATACCCAGGGTTCTAATTGGTCACAACCCACACGTTCATTTCCTCCAAGATCGGACAGTCAAATGGAACGTTTTGGACCGAAGCCCAGGCAACAACAGCAGTCTAAGCGGCCCTTTTGAGGCGCGGGGGGCCGTCCCTATCGGAAGAATAAGTGACTCCAGGGACCCCCCCATAGACGGTCGGCTCTCCCTGTTCTCTCAGAACTAGGGGAACATTACCACCGACACCTGGGTTTTGTCCACCGTCACCAACGGCCTGACCTTGGAGTTTTTCTCAAAACCGGCAAACTGATTCATTTCTTGTCCAACACCTTCAAACCCGTCAAAACGGGCTTTCATGAAGGAGACCATTTCCCATCTTATCGAAATAAAAGCAGTAGAACCGGTCCCTCCCGATCAGAGGGGGCAAGGTTTTTATTCAATTCTCTTTATAGTTCCAAAGGCCTCGGGAGGATGGAGGGCCATTCTGGACCTAAAAAGGTTAAATTTTTACTTGGTATACAAAAAATTCAAAATGCAGACCCTGCAATCCATCTTGGCCAGCATAAGAAGGAACAACCTCCTGACGTCCATTGACCTCATGGAGGCGTACCTACACATCCCAATATTTCCATCACATCAAAGCTTTCTCAGATTCTGCTACAGATCTTATCACTATCAATACAGAGCGCTTCTGTTTGGCCTTTCATCCGCCCCGAGGGTATTCACGAAGATCTTGTTGGTTCTGGCAGCTCACCTCAGATTGGAGTCCATTCGGATCCAGTGTTACCTCAGACTGGAGTCCATTCGGATCCAGTGTTACCAGTGTCGGTTCAGGCTGCGCGGTCAGAGGTAACCCGTACAATAGAGCTGCTCCAGAACCACGGATTCTTGGTGAATTTTCTCAAAAGCCAGCTGATTCCATCCACACAGCTACTTCATCTGGGAGCAGTGATAGACACAATACGTTGCATGGTCTACCTGTCACCAGACCACATAGCCAGTCTCAGGGCCCTTGTCCGCCAGGTGCAACGCACCAGGACAGTTCCGCTTCTCACTCTCTCCCAGCTCTTAGGCAAGATGATCTCATGCATCGCCATCGTACCTTGGACCAGACTACATTCAAAAGCCCTTCAGTGGTTCCTTCTCCCCTTTCAGAGGCAAAAATTAACATCCTCCAACAAGCAGGTGAGGTTGACCCCTCTGGTATTGAGTTCACTCCGATGGTGGAGTTCTCGGGCCATCAACAAGGGCTCAAAGTTCAGGGAGCCATCACGGATCATGTTCACCATGGATGCCGGTCTCTTTGGCTGGGGGGCTCACCTCCAGTCTCAGCCCAGGGGAGATGGTCCAAGGAGGATTTGAAACACAATATAAATTGGCTGGAACTCAGGGCAATTCACCTGGCGTTGTGTCACTTCAGTCACAAGGTGAAAGGCCAGCACGTTCTCGTCCTCACGGACAACATAGCAGCCAAAGCCCATGTGAACCGTCAAGGGGGCACCAGGTCGAGTTCTCTGATGACAGAAGCCAGACTGCTCTGCTCTTGGGCAGAGGCCAATCTGTCCTTGATAAAGGCAGATCACATCTCGGGGGCAATCAACCAGCAGGCGGATGCTCTCAGCAGGGCAATGGTGGATCATTCAGAGTGGTGACTGGATCCAGCACTGTTCCTAGCAATATCTCACAGGGTAGGCCACCCGGTTCTAGACTTATTTGCCTCGGCAGCGAACTCCCAACTTCAAGGTTTTTCTCCCGTTTTCCATCCCCGGGATCAGAGGAGGTAGATGTCCTGCGCATTTCGTGGCCCTGGGGACTTCTTTACGCCTTTCCTCCGCTCCCTCTACTTCAGCCGTCATCCGCAAGATTCTGCGAGAGAAGGCGAAGATTGTCCTCATAGCCCTTCATTGGCCGAGGCGCCCGTGATTCACTGATCTCATGAGCCTGTCAGTATCGGTTCCGTGGAAGATACCCCCAGACCGAATAGCACTCAGTCAAGGGGCGCTTCGACATCCCGACCCTCAATGGCTACAGTTAACCGTATGGCGATTGAGCAGAGACATCTGATTGAGGAAGCTTATCCTCCAAGGGTCATTGATATGATCCAAGTGTCTAGACACTCGTCAATTAATAGAGTTTATGACTCTACTTGGAAGAATTTTATATCTTGGATGTCCAAGCATTATGTCCAGTTGTCATCTCTCACGGTGCCTCAGGTGCTACAGTTTTTACTGGACGGGATGGATAAGGGTCTGTTTCCTAGTACTATCAGGAGACAGGTTGCGGCTTTGGCGACAGTTCTTTCTTGTGATGACTCTTCCTCATTTGCACACGATCCGGTAATCTGTTCCTTCATAAAGGGGGCAATTAATATTAGACCTCCAACTGTTCATCTGTACCCCTCTTGGGATCTTTCGAGAGTTTTGCAGGCCCTTACCGGGTCGCCTTTTGAACCACTTCATTCCTGTGATCTCAATCTCTTATTTATGAAGGTGGCCTTTTTAGTGGCAGTGACCTCGGCCAGGCGCATATCTGAATTGGCCGCTCTCTCGGTCAGGGAGGATCTCTGCCTGTTTCGCCCCGATTGCGTGATCCTATGTTTGGATCCCACCTTCATTCCTAAGGTGAACTCTTTGTTTCACCAGTCACAGGAGGTGGTGTTGCCGAGTTTCTGCCCTAGTCCATCTTGTGACTTGGAACGCAGATGGCACACCTTGGATGTTCGCAGGGCACTACGCATTTACATTAAAAGGACTGCTTCTTTCCTTAGGTCAGATGCACTTTTCCTCTCTTTCAATCCTGCCTCTATGGGGCTCAAG